CAGCGGGAGAAGAAGGAGGAGAAGAAAGAATAGAAATGATAGAGTGTGCGTTTGTGTTTATAATACACTGTAACTGAGTAAGAGATGTTTCGTCTATACACCTGGCGAGAGCTACATCTCTGAGATACATTAATCTATAATGAAAGTGTACAAGGTATATAAACTGCTGCTCCTGTTCATCCTCTTCTTCTTCTTCTTGCTGCTGCTGCTGCTGCTGCTCCTGCTGCTGCTGCTGCTGCTCCTGCTGCTGCTGCTGCTGCTGATCCTGCTGCTGTTGATAGTTTGTTTCTGCTGTTTTTTTTTCTTGTTTTACGGTGTCTTTGTCTTTTGTATTTATTTCATTTGTATTTTGTGTATAAAGATAGTTTATATGATGATAGCCTTCATCTATATAATTTTTATTTTTTTTATTTTTTTTTGTTGCTGCTGCTGCTCCTGCTGCTGCTCCTGCTGCTGCTCCTCCTCCTGCTCCTGCTGCTGCTGCTGCTGCTGCTGCTGCTGCATGCAAGACAGGCCTGAACTGTACCCTAGAGAAAAACTGCGTATGGGGTAGATATGTTTGTTGCTGTTGTATATCTTCATCATATTCTAAACAAAGAAGAACATCAACCCAAAATATATTAGATAAAAGTAAAGACAAGCTGTCTATACACCCGGAGAACCCCACAAGTATTCTTTTTAATATACTACACATCTGCTGCAGTCCTATTGATGCTTCTTGTCTTTGTCTTTGTCTTTGTCTTTGTCTTTGTTTTTTTTTTTCTTCTCTACTCCCTCTCTCTTCTCTATCATCTCCTTCTTCTCCCTCTATACTCAGCCGCACCCCTGCTGCTGCTGCTGCTGCTTCAACGCTGCTCTCACCACCAGCAGCAGCAGCAGCAGCAGCAGGAGCAGCAGCAGCAGCAGCAGCAGCAGCAGCAGCAGCAGGAGAAGAAGGAGAAGGGGTATCTTGCTGCTGTTCTTTTGTATCTTCTATAAGCTGATGCATCAAATTAAAAAACGAAGACAACCACTTTTTATTTATTATCTCCTGCTGCAGCTGCATGCATAGATGGGGCTGCTGCAGCTCATACTCTATCTGCTGCAGCAGCAGCGGCAGCGAGGAGACAGTAAGAGGTTCTATCCCCCCCCCCCCCTCTCTGTCTCCTTCTTGTCTCCCCCCCCACAAACTGTCTCCTCTCAGCAGCACGGAACTGTCTCCATCTGCATCAGCAGCAGCAGCAGCAGCAGCTGCTGCTGCAGCAGCAGTATTTTGTGTTGCTGCTGCAGCAGCATCTCCTGCACCACCACCACCACCACCACCACCACCAGCACCACCGC